AGTGGTAGCTCAGTGGTTAAAACATTGGACTCCTGATCTGATTGGAAGGTCATGAGTTCAAATCCCAAAACCACCAATCTGCCTGGAGCAAGGCCCTTAACCCAACTGCTCAGTTGTATAAATGAGATAAATGTAAGTCGCTCTGGATAACGGCGTCTGCCATAAACGGAAACGTTACGGTAAATGTTACGCTTTCCGAGCTAGGAAGAAATTTAGCGCTTTCATATTGTAAGTTAAAGAACCAAGACAACAGCAAACCCCTGATTACTGCACGGCTCTGAGCCTTTGTCACAAATGTGTAGTTAAACTTTAACTTTCAAATACTTTGAAAGTTTTTAATAGTTTTGATAGTAAGCAATCGTAAACGTTAATCTGTTTCACATCGCATGACTACGTTTTCCGGTTCGTCTTCTGTGTCGGATAACGACGGCTATAGGTTTTAATCATGATGCCTGTAGAACCGTTTCGATGTTCCGTGTCTTTCGCAAAAATGACGCTGAGCTCTCAAAATTTTCCACCAACATTTTTATTTTTATTTTTTTCTTAAATGATGGGAAAGTCTCAGTTTGTGCAACCCCTGCACACGGCACTGCTCTTGACGTTAATGAACGTGATCCTCGTTTGTCCAGTGAGCTTCGTATCTGACCTCTCACTCTCTCTCACACCCACATGAAGGGAAAAAAACTCCTGCTTTCATGAATTTTTGTTGCGTCCTGCAGGATCCCAGTCCCGATACACGCCTCATGTCTCAACCAGATGCCCTGTAAACCTTTCTGGCAAAGTTTCCAAAAAAACCCCAAAAAAACAACCTGTAAATGTATCTATATAGAACACGTTATCTTTTTGTGTGTGTGTGTGTGTGTGTGTGTATGTTTGTATTTGGTTTCATCCCTAATATAACCAAAATATACAAAAAAAATCAACCCTGACATCTGAAATACGGTTCTTTATTCATATTCAACCAACTAAAATAACCAGATTAATTTGATCTAGTATTTCCGCTCCTCAGCTTTGATTAATCCGTTTACGTTCTTCTCCGTTTTCTAGGAGCTCGTTATTTTTCTACATCTCCGGGATTTCGCTGGGAATCGTCTCCATTTTCGTGTTTCTGCTTCTCGTCCTGAAAAACTTCATACCAACGGTGAGTAATGTGTCGATGTAGAGTTAATATATATATATTTTTAATTATTTTACATAGCCACTCGCAGGTGTTATGAACTTGGATCTCATTAGGATTGTTTTCATTTTTCCTCCGTGAAAGCGAGGACTTTTCCTGCTGCTGTTCGGAGCCGGCTCCGGTCTCTCGTACCTGGGCATCCAGAAGCTGATAAACGAGCGGGATGAGATCATGAGGCTGTACTGGAGAGAGCTGCTCGGTAAAAAAGTGAAACCTTCTCCTAGCGTTGACTCATTTTATCCGTCCTACTTATCAACTGCTGGAATTTTCTTTTAAAAAACAGTTTCACATTTACTCCGCCATTTTGTTCTGCGGTGACAGTTTGCACATCATTTCCTTTCTTTCTTTTTTTTTCTTCAAGTTTTCTTACATAGGAGTGAACATTATAGCTGAAATTGTGTCCTAAAACAGCGCTGTTGAATTCTGGACTCTGATTGGTCAGAAGGTGTTGATTATAGATAATAAGCAGCTTCAGAGGAGTAACATGAACTCCGCGTCATCACACCAACCTGCCCGTTGTTGATTATTTTACTGTAACAGCACAACGCTGCGTTTTTTCCCCCACATTTCTGGAATCTGTCAGTGATAAACTCATGGTTTTGTATTTGGCTCTTGGAGTTACCACGTTGCTTTTTTTTTTACCCCCCCAGATATTTCCCTCAATACAGAAGTTCAGGTTTCATCATCACTTGGATTTCCTCCACAGGAATTTTTTGCGTAAGGTGTCAGTTGACATTACGCAGCAACAGACTACAAAACTTTTGACATTTAAGCTTCCACTAAACCAATATCCTGGTTTAGTTTTTGTGTTAAAGTGAAAACAAAACAGGTCTTTCAGAGCATTTTGTACCTCTCTCATTAATGTTATGGGTACAGAATATCTGAGGGGAAAAAATGCAACCAAAAAAAAAAGGTTTTGGAAATATTCTCATTTTAATTGTATAGTTCATGACTAAAAGGAAAACTTTCCAAAATTTTCAGTCATGATCGTCCAATTAAATGCTCTCTGGAACAACGTATATACAATAACGATAATTATTTCAGTGTAAATCTCGCACTCACGATGACGCTGCAGCTCTACGTCACTGCGTCTTTAAACGTTTTCTTTTTCGTCTCGTCTCCGGGAGTTTATTTATTTATTTATTTATTTTCTTCCTCGCCAATGTCGCCCCTGGATCTGAATCTACAATCGCTTTCCTGTAACGCTGCTCTCGGTTTTGTTAAAAGTGCTACAGAAATAAAATACAGCTGAATTCATGTAAATAAATAAATCAGTAACGGATCAGCAGTGAAGAACACCAAATGATTTACTTTTATAAATATCTCGGCTGCTATAAAGCACAGTTAGCTCGACGTAGGGCTGGGCGATATGACGATGTAATATCGATATCGTGATAAATTATATAACGGTACATTTTTTTCGGTGGTATCGTGATATCTTTTTGCAACTCTATTGCATCCTTTTTTAAAAAAAACAAAAATAACAATTGCAAATTGTAAAACATCAATTCCTTCCCCCTCAGTGTTTTCAGTGTTAGTTTATTTTTATAGAGATTAAATAAAAGTATCATCAAACACCTTTTTAAACGCATCACTACTGTAAGCACAGTTGTGTATCGTGATACATATCGTGTATCGTAGAAAATATCACGATTTGATATTTCAGTCACATCACCCCACCTCTAACTCGAGGATACTGATTGCTAGAACAAATGACAGAAATATTAATTTGAGCGTTTTAAAGCACACAAATATAACTTGCTTTACAGCTTGTCAATCAAATAAGCCCCTCCCCCAGGTTCACTGTGACATCATGGCATAATTTAAAGCCGGCTTTACGCTGTATGATGTTTGGCCCGATTTTACGCAGTCGTACATCGTAAAGGATGATCTTCGGTCGTGATGTTGAGATCAGTAGTCAGTGGAACGTATAATTTAGATTAAAATCTCATGTGAGCGTTGCTACGACACTCGTCTAAAATTCACCAACAGCAGGATTCCACAAAACTCACGAATACGTAACATATACAGAGTGTACACACAAACACGGTAGTGGCGATGGAGACGCGTAAACAAAACATGCGATTTAAAAGAAGCTAATTAACACGCAGACGCTCTGTGCATCGGGTTTATTACTATTCTGAGGCTTTTAAAGTGAGATATGCTGAGAAAGGAACTTTTTTTTTTTTAATTACAAAGGCTCAGAAATTAAATTAAAAAAAATATATATCTATAAACAGTTTCTCTGATGATGCTCTTGGAGGTTATTTACATGTAACGTGGTGTTTCATTTCCATATACAGTGTGTATTGTGCACTAGAGTGAAGGCTTGGAGATGAAATCTTTGTTTTATTGTGTGTGTGTGTGTGTGTGTGTGTGTATACACAAAGAGACAAATGCTGTCATGCAAATTCATAAATCACCCCTTGTATATATCTGACACACAGCAGAGTAGTTAAACCTGAAGAGTGTGTGTGTGTGTGTGTGTGGGCATTATATCTGCCCCTCTTTCCCACAGGTTACCTGCTCGTGTCAGGTTTTGTGAGTTTGGCAGTGTGTTACCGTCTCGGCCCCGTCACTAACAGACGCACGCTGAACGTGATGACCTGGGCGCTGCAGGCCGCTGGCGTGGTGGTGGCGTGTCACGGCGTCACGTACACTCACGTGTCCTGGATACTGCTGGCTGTGCTGCTGGGATTTAAGATCCTGCCTCTGCTATTCGCCCTCATCCTGGCGGTCCGGAGGTGCTCACTGTTTCACTACTTTATCATACATACATACATATATAACACACATCACAGAACAGTAGCATGTGGGTTCTCAATATTTACGTGTTTAATGATGAATCTGTGTGCGTGTGTGTGTGTGTGTGTGCGTGTGAGAGAGTGTGTAACTGCAGACACTTTACACTAGGGGCGATAAGATGGAAACATCACATCGCGATTCTCGAAGGCATTTCTCCCTCCGTAAGCGTTATGTATCACGGTATACAGGTTTGCTCAGAACAACCTGTTAAATTATAATAAATTTGGCTATTATGAATAAACATATTAATGTTTTTAAAAATAAAATGTTATTAACAAATTAGTTAATTAATTAATTAAACATTGACAGAGAGTGAAAAGAAAAATGTAAATGTTACAGATTTCGAGGTTCAGCATTTTAACATCATAGCAGCTGCTTCCTGTCAGTTTGTAATTATTTACAGTTACTTTTCCAGCATTTGGCAGACGCTTTTATCCAGAACGACTTACATTCATCTCATTTATACAGCTGAGCAGTTGAAGGTTAAGGGCTTTGCTCAAGGGCCCAGCAGTGGCAGAGCTGGGATTTGAACTCATCACCTTCCAATCAGAAGTCCAACATCTTAACCACTTCTCACCACTTCTATTTAAAAAATGTGTCATGAAATAATTTATCACAGTATTGATGTTATAATCATTATATCCACCAGCTCTACTCTGCAACAACCACCGTGTATAATGAGAGGACTGGGATTGTGCGGCGCACTGCAGCGTTTCAAAATCAGGAGATTATTAATCAAGATATAATAATACTACTACTATAACTAATAATAATAATAATAATAAACTATTTGTATAGCAGCATTCGTACATTATAAATGCAGCTCAAAGTGCTTTACAGAAATGTGAAATAAAAGGTGGTCAAAAAAATCATTTCATCTCTCTCTCGCTCTCTTTGTCTCTTGCTGTCTCTCTCATTCTCCTTGTTCTCTTTCTGTCTATCTCTCTGTCTTTCTGTCTGTCACTCTCTCTCTCTGTGTCTCTGTTATCCGGTCTCCCTCTCTTTATCTCACTCTCCTTGTCTCTTGCTGTCTCTCTCTCTCACTCTTTCTTTCCCCTCTTTCTCTCTCTCTGTCTTTCCTCTGTATCTCGCTC